CTCTGACTCTTTGTACTTTCAGAACAAAGTCCAATATATATCTCCAACTTACAGGGATAGAACAATTCATGGAGAAAACAATAAACAGATCACTCACAATTTAAATAATAATATTTGTGCAGAAACAAATATTTCAAACAATGGAGCGACAAAATTTAAATCTGACATCACAAAATACAATTTTAAGCATGAACACAAAAAGGTTAAAAGTGTAAGCGTTAGTGTTTGCTATGTGAGGCAGTTGAAGTCAATCTCACGGTATGAACAAGAAATACCATATTTTGTTTAAAATAATCTGAATAAATGTTCAATTCATTTGATTTGGATAGTCTCCTAGTTTGAGCTCAGCTCCTTAGAATATTATATAGTAATAGTTCATCTAGTAGAACAGAGGTGCTGCATGATCTTCATAGCAGTGAAGGGTTCAATAAAACGCATACAAATACATAGTCTGTTGCTTCGCTCTATGCGATGCCATTCACACTCACATTCATGAACTAAAAACTAATAGTATCAATTTTACTCGTAATTTAGAATTCATCATTGGATAATTACATGATAGGTTTTCTTGATTATATTTATAACTAGTTTTACTTAAAGTCGGTACCTCTTGAGCACTAGCTACCAGTCAGTCAGTCATCACAATGGCAGTGGCCAGGGCCAGGCCGGTCAGCGTCTAATCCTCAACGCATAGGGCCTGTCTTGCAATCGTAGAAATTGTAGAAATCGTTCTTGGTCAAGTACGTCAGTTGTCCGTCAGTCCAGGCGTTGTCTCTGAGCATCGACATGAAAAAGTATCAAACTGTGCTTTATCGCTTCGTATAGTCAACTCTCTATACGAATTTTGATTCAATTGCGCAAATAACTTTGTTACCTAGATAAATAAAAGAATTATTATTTATTACTTGCCCGGCAGCAAGGGGGCGCCAGGGCGTAGTTCACAATAGTGGTAGTGAGATCTTTGGTCAGCACACGCTCTCGAGCTGCGGGCTGCGTCGACGGCGGGCTTGCCGCTGGCGGAACGCCGCAAACTCCTCCTTCATGGCCTGGACGCGCGCCTCGATGTTCACGTGCTTGACCCGCTCGCGGCCCCGGCTGAACGAGTCGCTGGACTGACTCGCGGCCTCGTCCTGAGCGGCGTGGAAGGTGGTCTCAGAGTCGCTCAGGCCCCGCTCGTCGCGGGTGGGGGTGCCCACGAACACGGCGTCAAACTCGTAGTGGCCGTCCACGCTCACGTCGCAGCCCTGCTTGTCCTGATAGGGCGAGGGCGACGGCCTCTGCGGCAGGCCGGCAGTGATGCCGAGCCAGTCTTGGAGGCCGAGGCCCAGCCCCTGCCTCGAGGTGGACGTGGAGGCCGAGGGCAGTGCGGTCTGAGGAGGCGCGGGCGGCGGCCGGTACGGCGGCGTGGATAAGCTCTGGTTGGGCTGCGAGCTCGTGTTCTTGCTGCCGAAGCCCGACGATGAGGACCTGCTCTCGGGGCTCGTCTCCACGCCGCTGGCCGCGCTCGCGTTGGGCGACGGCCGAGAGCGCACCGACAGCTCCGGGGCGGAGCGGGCGTGCCGGACGTGCCGCGGGGGCAGGCGCGAGCGGTGGGGCGGGGCCGGGGCGGGGTGGGCGTTGGGGGTGGTCCAGGGCGACAGGGTGGCCGTCGTGGCGCGCGAGGGCGGGTCCTCCACCCACGGGGAGGTGGCGGCGTGAGGGATGCGGATGCGCGGCGGCGACCGCGGGGATGGCGACAGCGCGGGGATGGGGAGGAACACGTGCCGGGGCTGCGGCTGCGGCTGAGGTTGCGGCCGTGGTCGCGGCCTCGGCCGCTGCTGCTGCAGCAACATGAGCTGCTGCTGCTGCTCGTGGATGGCGGTGAGGGACGGTAGCTCCTGGGCGTAGCGCTCGTGCACGCTGCGGAGCTGCTGGTAGCTCGGGCCCCCGGCCGACGGCGGCGTCCTCACCGAGCTCAGGTCGCTGAAGTTGAGGGCCGGCGACCAGGGCACGACGGGGGACAGGGCCGCGCTCGGGACCGCGTCCGTGGGGGAGCTGGCCGCGACGTGGGGAGTGCGCCGCGAGGGCGTGTAGATGGCGGCCACGGTCGGCAGGCTGGGCGCCAGGCTGGGCGCCAGGCTGGGCACGAGGGCCCTCGCGAGCGTGCGCTGGTTGGCGTAGTGGTGGTGGGCGTGCACGGGGTGCACGATGGCGGTAGTGATGGTCACGTGCCGCGACTGGCGGCCGCCGCCCTGGACGCCGCTCTCGCCCGAACCGTCCGAGCGGACGCTCAGGTTGGACGGGCAGCGCACCAGGGGCCGGCGCCAGGACGCGCGGCCCGCCGAGGACGCCACGGCCAGCACGGCGCGGCCCCGCGACAGAAAGCCGCCGTCGTCGCTGGAGCTGCTAACGCTGCTGCGGTTGGAGGCCCCCAGCACGAAGCGGCCATCGGGCGCGCGGTGGATGCGCGCCAGGCTGTGGCTGTGGACGAGGCCGGGGCCGGGGCCGTCCACCTCGTCCACGTCACCGAGGCCCACGCCGCCCACAACACTCGACGCGCGCGAGCTCCCGAGGCCCAGGCCCAAGCCCAGGGCACCCAATAGCCAGCGCCCTGCATCCACTAGCGTGGTCACACCTGGTACTCGGCCTTGTCGATGTCTGCAAGCAACACACGAAAATGCGTCATGCCCCACTGGTGGACGGCGACGCAAGAGTACTCATCCTTTCCGACGTGACCAGACCAATCGAACAGGTGTTCAACGTTCATGTTTCAATGGCAACACTAATGCAAGTGCAAAATGAGGCTGATCGCGTTTGAAGGATGAAATACTGTGCGTAGCAGAAATCAATAGTGGGGACAAACTACAGCAAATCTCCCAGTAAATGTGCACACAATACCAGGTGGTAAGTCTTTTGGCCAAAAGAGAAAAATTCACCTACACATTATTATGACAGTTCAACTATCTTTTCAGCCACCTGGTATTTGTGTATTTCCCCAATTGCACAATAAATAAATTTATAGCACATTCTACAGTGAAGAAAAATCAGAAAGTGTGGATAAACTTCAAAATATAATAAAAACAACTCAAATGTAAACCAAAAACAATTTGAACCATGCAATGCTATAATTATAACACAATAAAATGATGCCAGACACTTTCCTATAATCACACACAAAAATATCTGCTGCAATTTAAGTTTGAAAAATTCTTAAGCAAAATTTTAACACAAATTTTTAGGAAAGAAAGAAATCAAACCAAAATAAACAATCAAAACAAAAAGTCCTAACAAAACAAAGAAAAGAAAAGAACAGGAAGGAAAGCAGAGTCATATAAAATAAAAGACAAAGAAGCAAACAGGAAAGTGCAGAACGAGTAGTTACAGCTTTAACAGTTGCTTCCAAGCTCTTCACCTTTTTTCCTCCTTGGGTTGATGGATAGGCAAGAACAGAGAGGAATACAGAAATATAGAATCAGTCTAAAAAGTATTCTGGGACATGAGAACCTAGCGGGAGAGTTTAGAAAACTAGACAGATTATATTAAACCTAGAAAAATGAAGAGATAATAGAAGGCTCCATCCCAACACCTCGAATTATACATTAAATTAAAAGGGTAGTAAATAATATGCTTGCAGGAAAATACCACCACCCAAACACCACTTAAAACATAAAGAATCTGCTCTAGATCTTACGTAGGAGGAAAACATTTGATGGGTAGCTAGGTTTCCAGGCTGAATGATCGATATGAGTAAACTTCCTTTGGCCTAGATTGAAACCAGATCTTAGTAATTTTCAATAGAGTGAGAGTGGAAGTGATTTGTCCGCAACCAATTGAAAGTGAGATTAAATAGTGATTGTGTTACAGTATTATCAACAGAATGATAATCTATTAAGAATGTCTCAGCAAGGTGAAAAATTCTCTACTAGTACACTGTCTCCCAGAATAATTCGTTTTAGGAAGTAAATGAAGTTTTTTGAGAGAAGTATATGGTCAGTATACAAGAAACCAGTCGGAAGAAATTATACTACCGTACTCACTTTTTCAAAGGCACTTGGCTGACCCCTGGTGGTTGCCCACCATTTCTTGAGTCTGTTATACGACAGGCTACCATATTGTATGCTGAAAAGTAAATTAATGGTTATGGACATTCCCATAAATACATCAAAATCCTACACATAGCAAAATTTTACCTTTCTCCTGTTTCCGTCGTTTCCGCTTATTGCAAATCTTAACGGCACAAACTGAAAGGATGATTGCAACAATAAAAAATAATATGCCACCCACTACACCAGCCGTTATGGCCTTGTGTTTCACCCTGGCAGGAACTGGAAATTTGACTTCGTCACTTGCTTCATAGCTACTGACAGAATTGGCAAGCACTCTAAAATGGTAGGTGCGACCACCAACCAGGTTTTTCACTGCGCAAATGAAAGATAAATTAGTATAATATGAGTCAAAATAAGAAATGTATTCAAATCTTGGAAATAATTTATAGAATTTAAACAGGTTTCACTCACCAAGAAAAGAAGTTTCTTCTGATCTTATTTGTTGTTTATTCAGTGTTTTCCACTGTGCATCTGTTCGATACTTTATGGTGTAGTATTGCACTAAATTTGCTTTCTCCAGGGGTGTTTGCCATGAGATAAGGAAGCCATTTGGATACTCCGTCACTGTTAAATTTCTTGGGGGTCCAGGTTTTGGTCCTGTCAATAAACATTATAGTCAGCATTTCTAATATACATAGAACAGTTTTCCAGTGGTAAACTGGAGTTCATTAACAACTATGCCAGGTTAGAAGTGGTACCAAAGGAATATGGGATATTTAAACAGATTTAAACAGAGCAAATAAGTAACAAAACAATGGCAGACAAATATGGGAACAGTCCATCTTGAGGAACTCTTGTCTTCAGCTTGAGATAGTTCTTGTCCAAACTTGAGAGAGCCTGGGTATGGGAAAGTGCTGTCCACATGTGATATTTTAAGAATGGAGTCAGAGAAAGTCAGAAATACAAACTATTGACTTTAATTTTCCTCTTTAACTAATAGTATTCTTATCATATTTCAGTGACTAACACTCAATATTAAGGGTATTAAGGGTTCCAAAAAGAAGTGGGAAACCTGTCAGTTGCTTTCAAAAAAATAAGAAGTGGTTGAAAATCAAAAGGGACCATACCTCTGGGCCTAAGAATAGGCGGAATGACGGGCAGCCCTGCTGAATCAGTCGGAAAGACAACAACACTAAAGTCTAGCACGTCTGAAAGGAAAATAAACACAAGCAAAAAATAATAAAGCGGGCTCATACAGCTGTAGCAAAAGGAAAAAAAATCAACCAAATTAAAAAGAAATTAAAGTGGTTCAAAATAATCTAGAACTTATTACAAGTAGGGCTTTTGGAATTAAAATTCTATAAAATATAGATTGGGGATGACAGGAAGATGAGCAAGCATAAGTTTGAAGGTGCATTTGTGCAGTTTTATAAAAAATATTTACAGAGGGGGAAACATATATTATTAACAGTGGGACTCCTACCATGGATAGTTTGTGATAATACTACTATTGTCGGCCCACTTCATAGAAGTGAGATGGACACAGAATTATACCTTTTCATAGGAAAAGATACTGAAATATGATACATATACTTATATGTGAAGCCATGCAGGTAATAAAAGCATCAGGAGAGAGTGCACTCAAAAGCCATACATGGCAAAAATTGAGCACTGGGCAAGAAAAGCCTTCACAAACATGCAGTGTTTTCAAATAACATTATTCCGATACGAGATATCTAACCATATTAGTAACAGTCGAAAATGATAGAACTTCCGTTCACATTAAGTTTTAAATGAGCACCCATTGTAATATGTTTTTCAACAGTTGTGAATTGATTTGAATTATAGAATAAATCTTCCTGCCACAAAAAGTTAAGATACTTTGGAAGGTTCAAAGTAATTCAAGAAATCCAATAACTCTCAGTCCCCTTCAATAACTCAAAAATAGTCCACCTTTCTGTAAAGTCCTCATCCCCGAGCGCGAACGAGCAACCTCTACGAACTTCTCGCGACGCTCGCTACGTCCAGTCAATCTACGCTCACGGCGCTCGCTTCCAGGCTGCAGGCCTCCAGCTACACACACAAAAATAAGAAGCAGTGTGGAACAACAAAAAAAGGAAACAGCAGCAGGCATAAATAAGAAAGAAAGCATGGCAAAAGAAAGCTTAATAACAATTTGAAAAATGTAAATTTTAAAAAAATAACAGATAAAACTCCATTCCACTCCCAAGCAATATCATAGAATAACGACTGTAAATTTCATTAGTGGGAAGGGTGATCAAAAATGTATGAAAAATAAAAACAGAAAGTTTTAAAACTCTAAGTATTCCATGAGAGTGTGCCTTGGAGTGAACTCTAAAAATAAAAGCAAAACATGAATCCAAAACAAAAATGAAGTGAAGCCGGTAAATCTTAAAACAAGTGCCTAAAAATATCTGAAAATAATTTTGGAGACATCTACATAGGTTTCTACATAATATTCTTACCAGCATCGTCAGGGGAATGCTCAAAATCCTTCTCTGATTTTTCTGATGGATTGGGATTGGGACGGACGACGTCTGCCACCATTTTGCCAAGTGCGCAAGAGAGAGACAGACAGAAACACACCAGAGGCAACAAATTAGTTTTTGTAGGACAATTTTACCAAGCAAAATGAAGTGCAAATATTGCTATGCAATCAGCTTTGCTGCAATATGTAAGAATATTTTTCTTCTCTTTTGAAACTTATAGTAACCTTTATATTGAAATGAAAAAAAAATGAAAGAAAAAGAAACGCAGTATACTCAGAGAAACTCAGTAATTTGCATTTGCACTTCATTTCTTAATGATGTACTGTCAGCTTAGCTATATAGCAGTTTAAGCAGTCTAGAGGTGTCAGTGCCAATGGCACATATGCTTCTGTATGAAAAAAAAAGAAAGCTGTTAAGTAAGAGTACCATTTACATTTAGTTCTCCAAAACTTTCTATAAAATAAAGCGAAAGTCAAGAGTAAAAAAGAGTGAAGATAATTGAATTGACCTTCCACCAGTGCCCCTAGTACTCTTATAGGACAAACTTTGCATGTACATCAATCACAAAAATGGGCAAAAGTAACATTCTACAATGTAAGTTAGGAATATGTAAGAACAGCACGATATTGGCTGGAATTCTTATAGGCCTGGGCTGCAATCACAAAGAGCACTAACACAAATTTTTACAAATTTCTAAGCTGAAAGCAGCCCCTGCACATACAGTTGGCACAGACACAACACCTCTAGCATACAACAGAAAAACAACAACAACAAAATCTCCTACAGCTACAGCAGGAATCTTCAGACTGATGCTCAATTAAGGCTACTGCTTCTTTAAGGGTACATGCAGACTGGTAAAAAAATCACCACCCTGCAAGTAGCAACACCACAAAGAGACCAATATAAAACAAATCATTTATTATCAGTTTACCCCAGAAATCCCAAATATGCTTCATATCCATTCAATCACAAAGTGCAAGGTGTGCAATGTTATTGATTTGTATCCCTTGCAGTGCAATCATGGTTAAAATGTGCAAACAGAGAGAGCGAGAAAGAACACAGAAAACAAGAACTGTAATCAATCAGTCTTGTTGATATTTTTCTTTGGCAAAACCCAGTAGTGGTTGAAAGAATTTATATGCACAGAGGCTCACATAGCTCTCCTGAAAAAATTGTGCTTAAGGAATAAGAAAAGGATATAAGGGCTTAGGAAGCTTAAGGGCAAAGATGAAGGGATGCAGGAGTTTAGGAGCCCAGCTGCTTCAAAATAAAAATCAATGAAGACAAATCCCTTAGTTTCAAACTATCCCTGTTCTTTATCCTAATTTCATGACAGAGAAAAAAAATCTAAGCTAGACTGGTCGCTTGAATATTTTTCTAGTATTCGTATTATTGGCTATGCTGCAGCATTCGACTAGTTCTATAACTTCTTTACAGCACATTAGATCTATTCTACTTTTATCTTTATAATGCATATTAAGAACAAACTAAACTTGGTGAGATAAGTTTCTTTTTCCCTAATCAATTCACTATCATTCAGTCTATCTAATTTCTATTAGCAGCATAAGTTAAATTTGTGGCAGCTGGGCAAAGATAGCTAAGATAGCTGAATAGGATGTACCTGGTGGTTTTGCACCTGATTGCAAAATAAAGACACAAATTAACCAGGGAGTCCTGAGAAAAGGATCAAATATATATCGCAAATTTCTTTCTAGGTGCAAAGACTTACCTGCAGGTTTGGTTCCTAAGGTAAGCAAGGGACAGAGTTGGGGTACCAGTTACAAGGACATTCTCATTGAAACCGTTCTAGATATTTCTGTAACCACAATTAAATATACTCACCTAGGGTTCGAACTTCGATCACTTTACTAAGCATTCCATCGCCTAGAGCGTTCTTGCCGATCACTTGAAACTCATACTTGGTGCCGGGCGTCAAATGGTTGATGGTGACCTGAGTACTCCCGGGGGGCGTAACTGGTATTTGAGACCAGTTGGCGACATTGGCTTCCCGATACCTGTGGGAGGGGAAATACAACATTTTTGAGTGACAACAAAAAACATCCTCGGACGCGGCAGTACTTCAAGAGTAGCACGTCAGGTAACCAACCAGATGGTGTAGTCCTGCTTGTAGTCAGGGCCGCCGCTGTAGCC